TTCTTATTACAATTATAGCAATACTACTTGGTGTTGTTGCCATAACAAAAGGTCCATATCAGAAGAAGTACAATAATTATCTTGAATACTTTCATTACGCTAATCTCATTTTTCTAGCAGCATTTAATGATCCAAAAATAAAATCAAAAGTTTCTCGTATCTGCAGTTACGTCTCTGTCTCTCTCGTAGTTTTGGTTTTTCTTTGCATTGTGATCTATCGCTTTACACAGATGAAAATATGCAAAAAAATTAAGTCTCAAATAATGAGGATGCCACAAACTGCAAGAAAGATTTCGCAGCGTCGAAAACATTTGAGGTCACTGAGGGTTCCTTTTGTAGATGACAAACACGTTGTTGCCCATGACATGGAGAATATGGTGACAGTAGAACTGTATGATGAAGATGGTGATTTCGTGACTAGAAGAAGAGAGACACTCATACGTGAAGATTTGATTGACTGATTTGTAATCCACATTTTCCATGCATGCATACAATAATAATAAGTAGTTAATCTTTGTGTTTTTTTCGATTTTTAAATGACTTTTTTACAAAATTCCACAGCGATTGCAAATGCATTGCAGCAAGCATCTATATAAGAGTGGGAGTGGCAATCAAAACTTCTTACAAGAGTAGATCTACTACCTTCTAGCATTATTAGTTGTTCCTATGGAGCTAGTGCAGGGAAGGATGAGAGGGTTAAAGTTGGCTGTTAATCTGGTTTTTTAGAGTGACATGTCTGAGTCTGCGCCTCAGTTAGTGAGGTATGGTGGTTTGGACTTCCTATAGTTGCTGACTATCTCTCAGAGATAACAATGTCCCTACTGGCTGGAGCTAAAAGAAGGAAACCAGTAATGATGCTTTAGTCCTGGGCATGATACATGTATATACTAGAAATCTCCATTGCATTTCAATTCTTGATGCAGATATGCACATGTTTGTAGATCTATGTTGTGTAGATCTAGCAAGTTTGAGCTGATTCCGATCAAAATTGGATTTTTTTACAATTTTTTATAAGTTGCTTAAAAATCAGACCAAGCAGCCTGTACTAAGTAGTCTACAGGGTCATTGGCCAAATTTTGTCAAAAATGACTAGGAGAGAATTCTCAATTTTTATATTTTCTAATAGATAGATCTATACATGTTTTTATGTTGTGTAGCAAATTTGAGCTAAATCAGATTAAAATTAGATTTTACACAGATTTTAAAAGTTACTCAAAAATCAGCCAAAAGTCCTTGGTCTTGGGCCAAATTTTACAAAAAATGATTATATATGTGAGAATCTCTGTTTTTACATTTTCTATGATGTTTCAGCTCAAGCATTAGCCCTTTTCTCATCACAGGATATGGGCTATACTCCTGATTTCATATCTCACTGTATCAAACCACTCATTCATGATATCAAGAAGCAAGGTAACCACACCCATTAATTATAAGTAGCAATACCCACCACATCAGAGTTATCAATAGTTATAATTAGGTATGTGGAGGATGTGTACGTATATCATCTGAGGGGTCATGAGTGGAGTTATCGGTTGCCATGGTAACCAGAGATGACATGATAAAGGACATAAGTGGAAGAATAATTATATTTTGTTTCAAGTTATTGGTGTTATTATGTGGTACAGGTGAAGGAGATTAAGGATAGTGGATACGCTGTTGATATCGAATCAGGTCTGACATTACCCTCATTTGTACTGAGCATGAATGCTTATATTGGGTAAGAGTAAGACCCTTTAATTAATTCTAAGTCAGTGGAGCCTTTATACTTAAAGACAGTAAAGTTATAGAGATCCCTTGTGAAAAATCTCAGCAAGATCTTGTTAAGTTTCTTTAAAATTCTTCACAAGATTCTTGCTAATATTACATAAGATTTTACCTGATTTTAAAACAAGGATCATGTAAGATAGCGTTAGATTTTGCTATCAAAATGTAAGCAAGATCTTACAGGATCTTTCTCAAGATCTTACCAAATTCTTAGAAGATCCAGCAAGATCTTACCTTAAGATCACAGCAAGATCTTACCTGATTTTGAAACAAAGAACATGAAAGATATCATGGGATTTTGCTTTATCAAGATTTAAAAATATTAGCTGAGTTCTTACACGAAGTTTCAGCTTATGAAAAATGGATGTAACAGTAAAGGGCAATGCACACGGACAAATTAATGTTACAACAGGAAGTGCTCTATAAACCAATGACCACCGTTTACATAAGGTAAGGATGTTCTTACCTTATGTAAACTGGTGGTCATTGGTTTATAGAGCACTTCCTGTTGTAACATTAATTTGTCCGTGTGCATTGCCCTTTACTGTTACATCCATTTTTCATAAGCTGAAACTTCGTGTAAGAACTCAGCTAATATTTTTAAATCTTGATAAAGCAAAATCTCATGATATCTTTCATGTTCTTTGTTTCGAAATCAGGTACGATCTTGCCGTGATCTTAAGGTAAGATCTTGCTGGATCTTCTAAAAATTTGGTAAGATCTTGAAAAAGATCCTGTAAAATCTTGCTTACACTTTGATAGCAAGATCTAACGCTATCTTACATGATCCTTGTTTCAAAATCAGGTAAAATCTTATGTAATATTAGCAAGAATCTTGTGAAGAATTTTAAAGAAACTTAACAAGATCTTGCTGAGATTTTTCACAAGAGATCTCTATAACTTTACTGTCTTTAAGTATAATGGCTCCACTGACTTAGAATTAATTAAAGGGTCTTACTCTTACCCAATATAAGCATTCATGCTCAGTACAGATGAGGGTAATGTCAGACCTGATTCGATATCAACAGCATATCCACTATCCTTAATCTCCTTCACCTGTACCACATAATAACACCAATAACTTGGAAAAAAATATAATTATTCTTCCACTTATGTCCTTTATCATGTCATCTCTGGTTACCATGGCAACCGATAACTCCACCCGGTACCCCTCAGATGCATGACATACATACACATCCTCCACATACCTAATTATAACTATAATAACTCTGGTGTGGTGGGTGTTGCTGCTTATAATTAATGGGTGTGGTTACCTTGCTTCTTGATGTCATGAATGAGTGGTTTGATACAGTGAGATATGAAATCAGGAGTATAGCCCATATCCTGTGATGAGAAAAGGGCTAATGCTTGAGCTGAACATCATAGAAAATGTAAAAACAGAGATTCTCACATATATAATCATTTTTTGTAAAATTTGGCCCAAGACCAAGGACTTTTGGCTGATTTTTGAGTAACTTTTAAAATCTGTGTAAAATCTAATTTTAATCTGATTTAGCTCAAATTTGCTACACAACATAAAAACATGTATAGATCTATCTATTAGAAAATATAAAAATTGAGAATTCTCTCCTAGTCATTTTTGACAAAATTTGGCCAATGACCCTGTACTATACTACAGGCTGCTTGGTCTGATTTTTAAGAAACTTATAAAAATTGTAAAAAAATCCAATTTTGATCGGAATCAGCTCAAACTTTCTAGATCTACACAACATAGATCTACAAACATGTGCATATCTGCATCGGGAATTGAAATGCAATGGAGATTTCTAGTACATGTATCATGCCCAGGACTAAAGCAGCATTACTGGTTTCTTTCTTTTAGCTCCAGCCAGTAGGGACAGTGTTATCTCTGAGAGATAGTCAGCAACTAGGAAGTCCAAACCACCATACCACACTAACTGAGGCGCAGGCTCAGACGTGTCACTCTAAAAAACCAGATTAACAGCCAACTTTAACCCTCTCATCCTTCCCTGCACTAGCTCCATAGGAACAACTAATAATGCTAGAAGGTCATAGGCGGCGGAACAAAATTTATTTTGGGGGGGCTGAACATCAATTAAGTTATTAAAATGGGTGTGGTTTTATACAAAAATGGCTGCTAATTTTACAAAAAATGGTGCTAATCTTCTATTGTTGGATTTAGAGTAGTTTTCTTGTCTTTTTCTTTAAATAAAATGAAGAGATGATGACTGCAGGTCTAATTTTACTGATAAAAGTCAGTTTTATTTTCTTTGTTAGTCAGTTGCAGAGAATTTCTGGGGGGGCTCAGCCCCTCCTGTTTCAAGACTGGGGGGGCTTTAGCCCCCTCTGCCCCCCCTGTTCCGGCGCCTATGTAGAAGGTAGTAGATTTACTCTTGTAAGAAAATTTGATTGCCACTCCCACTCTTATATAGATGCTTGCTGCAATGCATTTGCAATCGCTGTGGAATTTTGTAAAAAAGTCCATTTAAAAATCGAAAAAAAAAACAAAGA